TATATGTATAATATAATATTATATATAATATATTAAATATACAAAGTGTATCTGAATTGGTGTCCATAAATGTAGGGATGTGTTCCTGACACCAAAACTTTACAAAAAGTTCATATGAACATGGGTCCGAAAATCCTTCGTTAGGGAGTTATAGGGTTTATTGCTAATGGTACTGTACATGTGAGCATTTAACAACATTTATTTACAAAAAATGCTCGATGTGACTTCCTACTGCTTCGATGCATTCCCTGAGCCTGTGTTCAATGCTTTGCTGTACTTTGTTGAAAATTCCTGGAGTGTTTCAAATTTGGTCAAAGCCATTTTCGATACACTTCCTCAGAACATCGACATTAGGTACAGAAAATGAATAAACCAAGCATTTTACATGTCCCCAGAGGTAAAAATCTATAAGATTCAAATATGGCGATTGGGCAGGCCATGCAATGGATCCCCTCGACCAATCATCTGTTCGGAAACTGGTTATCGAGATACTGGCGAACTCGCAGAGTAAAGTGAAGTGGAACACCATCGTACATAAATCACATTCGTTGGATGACATCTAGAGGTACAGTACATCATCAAATAAATGAAGTAACTCATTTACTTGGTTGAAGTGTAAGTACGATTGACCAACTGTAAGAAATAAAGTGCATAAAAATGAAAGTTTGAAGTGATTTACATAATCAGGGGGTCACTACAAAGGTCACTACAATTTATTTCATAACTCCCTAACGAAGGATTTTCGGACCCATGTTTATATGAACCTTTTGTAATGTTTTAGTGTCAGGAACACATCCCTACATTTATGGACACCAATTTCGATACACCCTGTATTTAAATAGCAACCAATGGTCGAGTGGACAAAATCACTGAACTCTGGATCACGAGTTCGTACCTCATGAACCGGTTGACCACACGGAGGTTTCTTGATTTTCTGGACATGTATAATACATAAATAGGGTACAGTTTTCATAAAAAGTGCTCCCTACATACACCCCTCTTGACAGTTCGCTCATGTATTGTATAGGTAGTGCTACCATGGTAGTTCTCATCTCGCCTTATACTAGTTTATTCATTTCGGATCATCATACCAGCACGATCTCTTAACGCATTTTCTTTGCCTTTGTTTAACATGTTCACATGTTTTGTTAATATGTTTCTTTCGTTTTTTCTTTCACTTTATTTATTTGTATTTACAGTTTTATACTTTTAAAAATCATATTTATATTTTATCTGTCAGTCAAGTGGCCCGGGATCTGAATTTATATTTATTCCAGAGTATCGTTATTTTTCATGATTAGTTTAAATGATAGCATTACTCACTGCTACTTAAACTACTAAACCTAATTCGGATTATATCCATCTGAAACGGACAAAATTAAAGATAACAACATAATTTTTTTATGAATGACATCATGTGAACAGTCAAACAATTTTGATTTCTGAATCAAAGCCTTCTGTAGAATATAAATTAGACAAACATTTGTAGGTCTACTTTTTAAAGGAAAGGGAACAAAGAAGTAAATTCTAGATATTAAATAATTAAATTTAAAATTAAATCAAGCAATTTTCAAACATATTTCCAAATGTTTCTTATATTTTAGTAAATTCTAGAGTTATTAAATGATAATTGAAATTACAAGTAATTCAGTACAATAAATTATACGAGTAATAAGACTTCATTTTTTGCAGATGCTGATGAAGCAAGAAGACTAGAAAACGTATTATATATGCTGGGTTCAGTACCGAGACTACTTTACTTATTAAACCAATTGCTCGATTCTTTAATTGAATAAATAAAATTTATGTTAATGACTAAACTTTTTCTTATTTTAATGTAATTTATTAAATTCAAACAAAAACATCTAAGATGTAAAAAAATTTCTCCAAGTAAAAATTTATGACAATTTAGACGATAGTCGAAATTTTTTTAGGAGTTTTTTTTTTTCGTAAAGATAAGCTCGGCGCTTGGAAGCGAAATGTAGAAAGAATAATGCCGGTAAAAATCTTGTGGGTAAAGCTTCCAAATGTCAAAGAATAACTAAGAAAAAATTTGACTTCTCTAAATTGTCATAAGTTTTTAGTTGGTTCAATTTTTTATATCGCAGATCTTTATGTTTCGATTTGAATTGTGTTTTGTTTACTAACTGAATTATTACATCAAACCATAAGACAAGGAATACGACGACCGAATGCATCGCTAATCGAACGCGCCGCTGACCGACACTTTCGATACGGCGTTTATAAAAATTGTTGCAATTTATGCATATTAAAACTTTTACGTTTTAATATGCATAAATTGAATATTTTGTTAATATAAATAACACTTTGAATAAAATTAATTTCTTTCTATGAATTTTATCCATATAAGCATAAAATTTGGCTATAAAACTGAATTACCACTATGGGAAACCCCCATAAACTTTGACCTATCGACCCGGAAGTTTCATCAGTACCTCACTGAAAACGAGAAAGGCTTAAGTTTAAAATTTGAGTTTTCTAGATCCAGTAGTTTTTTCTCTATGAGCGTCTGCAGTGCCGGATGAAGAAAAACAAGGAAAAAAACAGGTTTTTTTGTGATTTTTGCACTTTTCAATTGCTTATATTTCGGCAACCGCTTTATAGAAAATCTTGAAATTTTGCACACAACCTAAAAAGACAATTTTCTTTTGAATAAGATATTCGGAATTACTTCAGGTGTTTGGGCTGCGGAGAAATCGACCCTCCCGAAAGTCGGCAAATATAATTCCTGTATGTAAATGACTTTTTTACTTGGCGGGGAATCACTGCGTTGACTCCTGATCAAAAATTAAAAATCTGGGTTAATAAACGTCCAAACTTTTTCAAAAAGAAAACTAAAAGAAGTCCGCTTACAATTGCTTGTGTGATGTTGCAGATTTTCAACTTAATTTATGTTTAGGACGAAAAGAGGAGCGAGAAATAATATTTGGGTCTAATCAAGACACATTAAGTTAAAACTCTTTCACAATTAAACAACTAGCGTTTATTGAGATATTAATTATTGGCATACAGAATAAGTAGAAGATTCCTTTTCTAGTTCCTTGAAGGATGGGAATTTCTTAAGATAATACCAAAAGGTATTTGGAAGATCACCAATCGATAGCCCGGAGCTAATCGTGGTTTCGTATTCTCTTCGTTGATCTATACAGATAGTGCGGGAATGAATGGAGAATCGCCCGGCAATCAGCGGCTTCACGGTCGATCTCGAGAGAAAGAAATGATCGTCGAAGGTTTCGTCGAAGATTAGAGTCACTATATCACGATCACCAGCCGGGCCCGCTCTAGGGGCGGACAACCCGGCCGGACATTTGTCCGGGGCGATAAATCTAAAGGGCGGCATTTTGGTTGCGAATGTGACAAAATATTTATACGTTAAATACTTTATTAATCGGAATTTATATTTGTCGATTTTTTTTTCTGTAGCTAAAATTATCACGCAATTTATGTAGGAATAGTTATTGAGATTGAGAAATATAGAAATGACAATAAACTTCCAGAGTTCGTAACCGTCGTAACCGTCTTGACAGAATAACAATGCTTTCGCCTTCGTAACGTCTTTTGTCTCCTTTTGACTTTCCACTTTTGCGTCGTCACTCACCGTCGTCTTGTTTACTACTGTCCCTTACTTGACACTCCCTCCTTCTCGCTTCTCCTCTCACTTGACTCTCCCACTCAACCCCTCGTAAATTTATTGCCTTAATGGTTTAGGCATGTTACTTGTCTAAACCCCACATTTATATTTCGTATTTATTATTTTTGCCTAAAAGCTAAGAAAATATTTGCATTTCTTAATTCTGAAGAAAACAGCCATAAAAGATTGCTTTTGGACATAAAGGAAAGCATAAGTAACAATGTTAAATTTTGTCCCAAACCTTGGTGTCACCTTATAAATACTGCCGATCATACCAATAACTGTAGCTGGGGGGAAAGGAGTTTCTCTAAATAAAAATTATTTAAAAACTTCTTACGTTCCACTATCACGCGAAATCATGTTAATAGTTTGGCCATTTTGGCCATTGCGCATGAAACTGCCGATCGAGTAAACTTAAGAGTTAATAAAAAAGTTTGCAGAACTAAAAGCGAGAAAAAAGTTCCTTTTGATTTTAGTATAGTTGATTTACTTTTGTTTAGTTTTTATAGCATATAGGTTTTTTGTTTGATTGTACAATAATACGTTTTTGTAATATCATTAAAAATGCATCTAGTTAACAATTTGTAACTAGGTACAGATATATTTTAATTTTTACTGTCTTGTACTACTTGATTGTTCATTTTATATTACATATTTTTCTCTAAATAAATTTAAGGGCGACATAAATTGTCCAGGGAGACATAAATGCTTGAGCGGGCGCTGTCACCAGTGACGGAAATCGAATAAGAATAAATATCCGGCAGAACTCGACAAAAGGAAGAAGCCAAGACAGCGGATTAAATGGAAACTTGAAGAAATTGATGGATGTGTTTAACGAGATTGTGACGTAACCTGATGAATTAATCAAGCCCACTTTATAATTCACACGGAGACTCATTTGTGTTTTTAATTATATAAAATTATTTTTAAAAATAGTAATTTAAATGCCAGTAAATAATTATCTCTTCCGATATTAGGCTATGAACACAAATGTATTTTCTGTAATTTCGTTTTATATTACAGCGAACGTTCTTCGTTAAACCAAAACGCTTATATCTTCATATCATGTCAGTGCAGAACCACCTCTGGAAACATAACGGCACAAATTCTTCAATCATATTTCGTGACCGCTGCCCTGTAGCTATAACCAATAATCTGGCAAATCTAAATAGGTTCTGAGGCCATCTAATTTTAAAGTTAGTAACTGCAATTGTACATTTAATAATTATTTGTCTAATTAACAAATAATTGGACTATTTATTTATTATTTATGAATACAATTTTCAGATATTTTTAAGCTTTTCACAGCTTTAACAACTTTAAGCTTTAACAGTCATTTCGTGTTTGCTTCTAGATTGGAATAAAAAAAAACCCAATGAATAAAAAAAATTAACCGAACATTTTGCATTTATTTCAAAATACTTTGAGTAACCTTGAGTTAATGAATGTCCAAATTTCTCTATTCACCGACAAAATTGTCTCGCGGACCATCAAAGGTCTACGGACCACAGATTAACATCCGTTGGTTTAAATCGAAACGCCTTCATACTATCAATATAAGAAAACCAAGAACAACTCTAATGTGGTCAATATGACTTTACTTTTACAGTAACATATTTTTGGGTGGACTACTCACTTTTTCTCTTATCTCATAAAATACGACTGAGTTTTCGGATTGAAAAATTGGCCTACAATAAACAGATTAAAATATTTGTAGGTCTCTACGCTACCAAACTTGGGCGACTTACTACTTTTCGGGCCAATTTAAAAATAATTTATGTTCTTCCGAACATAACTTTATCGCACAAATCATTATATGAATTTATTTATATGTATGTAATAGAACAGTGACGACTCGTTCTTCAGATTTAATTCCTTCAAGGAGGCCGCTTAAACGCCGATTTGTTCGAAGTCCTAACCAGCTTTCCAAATTAGAAAGAATGGAAAGTGAACTAATTCATTCCCAAACCATAAACAGCACTCATTTTGATAACATAAAACAACGAATACACATAATTTAAAATAAAAATAACAAAATTAAATGCCATAAATAAGAAATTAAAACATAAAAACAAAAAATAAAATACGTAAATATTGTATAGTAAAACGGGCAATTATTTATTGTGACATCGTCGCAGTGCCAGGCTGCAATTATTAACCATATTTCTACAAATTAGTAGTGGCTTGCCCTGTACATCATACTTTTCCTACAACAGTAGAGTCGTGCTGGTCATCTACCTAACAGCTTTCAGGGGAACATATTTGAATTGAAATAACAAAACTTCCGGTTTACATCAAATGTTCGTATACAGTCGACCCTCCTATAACACGGCAGATACGTTCCGTTTTTTATGAAATTCATGTTGTACGAGTCCTTAAATACATCAGCCAATCACAGCCCGGCACGTGTGCAGTTTACGGACCACGACTGTTTGAAAGATTTTCTTCCATAAAATTCTAGACTAATTTGACTCAAAATTTCCAAAACACGTATAATTTTTTTGGAAATGATCCATATAAACAATGCTATAGACAAAAAATTGTAAAATTACTTACCGAGTGTGCACCGTTCGACAACGAAATTACTTAAGCTTGTTTTCGTAAAGGAGCGGCACATGGAACGGCGGGCGCGAGTTTTCTGATAAGTTATTTTTCTGCGAAAAATTCGCTGAACTTTACAGACTTCATTAATATAAACATAATTTTTATGGCCGTTAAATAATTAATGGTTCTTAATAGGTCCGCTGCTCGTTTAAACTCAACGGTTTGGGCAATATCCACTATTCGTCTAGATTCGACCAATCCTGTCGCGACACGAGTCGGCGATGACGTTTTACCGTAATATAGGAGTCTCTTTTAGCGTGTTTATACGAATACGGTCGCAATTTTTTCGCCATTATATACGAATCCGCGTTATATGAACCCGTTTCATAGGGAAGTTACTCGTAAGTAAAAACTTTGACTCTTATCCAAATTTTCATAATTTTTTACTTAGCCCAAGTTTTTACATCTCACATGTTTCTATTTGGTTTAAAAGTTATAAATATAACAGATTCCTATGTAGCACTTTAAGCCTCTTTTTAATGTCTTAAACTGTCTTTTATGAATTACCCTATAAGAGTAGTAGTATTCGCTTTCAAATTTGCTTCGGACAATCGGGGTTCTACTGTCATATTAAATATATTAATATTGTTTGATAAAATACATTTTAATGTAGTTTCTGCAGAAGAAATCGTTTAACTTATTACATATGAGGAAATATTTATTGAAAATATTTTATTACATATTAATTATGTAAATTATGTAAAGCAGTTATAATCAAGACGTTAAAAGACAATATAATAATATACATTTTATGATTTATCAAACTATTTCTGAAATTTTTTCTAAAATTTCTACCAGTGCTCTCGTTTGATCAATTGTAGCTTTTAACATCTCTTTAGCCAAGGAACCTCTAAGGCCCGAAGGCCGATTACTGAAAGGAATAATTTTAGGTTTGCTGTGATCCTCCCATTCATTGTAATCTTCATCCTCATCATCATCAATTCCAGCTTTGTTGAAGAAAACTACGAAACATGAACAGTTTATATTAAACTTTTAAATAAAATATTAAATCACTTGAAAAGATTACTTCGGTTAATTTAAGTATATTTAGGGATAACAAAAAAATAGTTCTTACTATTATTGGGTGGTATTATATATCTGTTATCCGTACCTATATTAGGTAGATGATATCTCTTAGTTCTCATGTTGAATGTCTCTCTCTTATATCTAGGATCTATAAACGAGTAAATTGAAAAAAGAAATTAAATAATGTGTAATTCATAAACATAATTTTAGAGAAATAAATACTTAAAAACGGTTGCAGTAGGGTAGCACAAATGTCAGTTAACCGACATATATTTGTGATTTAAAATAACTTTATGTTTTTATCGAGAAAAAATTAGTCTCATTACTTTTCTGCCACACCTTGTATAAAATAAATTTATTATGATTGCTTTCTGATCAAATCAATGGGCATAAACTTGACAACTAATTTCTGTTCTTGTTCTTAAGAGGAAATTAACTTAATGGACACGTTTTGCGTCTTTGAATTTATAATGTTATATATGCACATTCCTGCTTAACAAAATCCTTGTAATCCTATAATATAACAGCTTTCATAATTTGGTTTTAGTATTCAATGTGTTTGGCCTAATGGCGGAGGCGGTTAAAAATTCAGCCTTCAGCCACTGGAGAAACTGGATCGGATACAGGTGCTAATAACTGCCAGAAATTATTTATTCTCCATGGGCAGCCTCGAATATGTCGGAACCTGTCTCTCCACATCGACCGTCCCCATAGTGGGCCTGGTGAATTCATAATGATTATAGAAAAGGGCTTTTTTAGTACCCGTGAGGAGAAACTGGCCAGAAATAGGGAGAAAATTGACTATGATATGATTATCTCTCTAGACAAAATTCGACAAAGAAAGACTAAATATATCGTAGAATAGCTCATATAATACACAGATTTATAACTGAATCAAACCGATTTATATTATTAATTAGCGTTTAATTTAACTATTTGCTAATAATACTTAAATAATTCTTATGTTTACCATTCTTATCGTCGTTGAAACTAGATGAGACTGAGTTTAATTTTTCAGTAGCATTCGATGAATCTAAAAATAAACGTTATAATAATTAAGACAATTAAATTGAGTAATGAACAATCATTTATTCACATTTACTTACCAGAAACGTCAAGAACATTTTCTGAAAAATGTGGAATATATTTTGGTTCATTAAGTTTATTCACAGCAGAAAATTGCGTTTTGGATTGTTGAAGTTTGCGAGATTCAGCGCCTGTTCCGTAATAAATCATCACCTGCACGATGATAACTAGTAGAGTAGCGCGTGCAATCATCATGGTTGAATGAAAGTTACTGAATTGTAGCTCGTAATCAAATTTAGATCCATTTATATATTGTAGAGTATTACTCATATTGATATATTTAAATATGATTACTTTAAAATTACATTTTCACAACAATAATTGCGTATCAAATAAAAAATATTCGTGCATTTACACGATAATATTATTCAAATAATGTATCGGTGAAATTATGGATACTGCTGTAATGTTTGATTTATTCAAAGTTCCATAGTTTCATAAACTTCATAAGAATTTAAAAAAAATTCTTTGAAATAACACGGCCGATTTTATTCAATTATAACTTTGAAGGTTATAAAACAAGTCATTAGATGTTCTTGAAATTTTCATAAATATGAAAACTTATCCATCATATTACGCGCCGTAAGATAATAGCTGAACGTTGTAGAGAATTGTTGTTTTCAATTAAACAGAAGTGGCAATCTCAGTTCAACCTAACTTATCAAGGATAATATGATTCTGTACAACGTTTCCCATCACAATAATCGATTTCATTAGGTCCAAAATAGCGATAACTATAGTTACGTTATGTATGATGTCTCGCGATAATGAATCAATTAAGTATAATTATGTATTCTATATATTCAAACCAAATTTGTCTATTTTCATAATGATTATGTAAAATTTTAAAAATATGCTATATTAAAATATGGAAGAACTTCATTTATTACCTTTCCTGCTCTGTTATATTTAAGAGAAAAAGTATGGCGATCGGTCAAAAAATGACTCACCCCAAGAATTTTACAATTTTCGGACTCATGGGATCTTGAAACGTCCAGAAATAAAAAAGTTCGTAGGTTTTTCTGTATATATGGATGTTAGTGTGTATGTGTGTCAAATTTGTTCATCCTCTTTGAAAGTCTTATGGTTTTCGTCGAAACTTTTTGAAATTTTGTAAGGTGGTTTTTGTATTAGGAGGATTGATGTTATTAAATTTTGGTTGTTAAAGTTTAATGTAGTAGAAAGATAAAGAGCGTCGAGTATCAAATCTCGAGTAGGGTAGAACTTAATGACGAATTTCCTCATTATTATCATTTACAAATTTTCGCCATTTTATGATAAATAAAAATGTAAAACGTTTTTAATAATGAAGCATTATAACAGATGGTGCCACATACGCAGTTTTAAATGTTTCCGGGAAAGTTCAGCAACTCGTTGCTGGATTTTTTTAATTGATAACAAATAATGAGAATTATATTTCGATCAAGTTTAACTTGATTTGGTTGTTATCATCGTTATCATCTTCAACAACTTAACTTTTTTGTTATCAAGATGAATTTTCTCTATTTTGATAAAGAATATTAAACTGATTTCTGCTATCATGATTTCTAATATTAATTTCCTTGGTGTTTAGTAAAGTTTATCAGTTTATCTTTAAACTCGTATAATTTTTTTCGTTTTTGCCTAATTCCATTTCAAACTGGCAAAATTTTGATTTAAAGAGCATTGTTTTCTACACATCTTCCTTCTTTTTATAAAGCTGCATGAATTTTTTTTTTAAATTCGGGTCTTTCTGCCCTGTGGACACTAAAAGGCTCTTTATTCCATACTTAGCGTGTGTCGATCAAGCTTACAATAGAGTAATGAGGAACGTGGTTCGACATATCTAATACCGTTTTCTATGAAAACTTTCTGGAGATTAGTTCGCCAGAATTCGTTTCGGATATCCCAGACAATAAGCTGATGCCGCTTTATAAATCTTAATGATCCATGGTGATTGTCGGCTGTTCAATGACAGTCTATGACTTTTCTTCTAACTGAAAATCTTAATTTACATGCAAGAACTATAAAAAAACAGTAATTTTGACACTACATTTTAACATATCTTGAAACATTGAAATGTTAATGTCTAACTTTCAAAACAAGTTTATTTAAAATAATATTTTCAACATTTATTTTTAACTTTTTTAAAGAATATCATAAATTGATTAAGCAAATTTTAAGTGAATTTCGTTTGTTAGATTTTAGAATTTTTCAGACAACTTTAAGAATACTTTTAAAAATATTTTCAATTGAAATATAAAGATAGTAACTTTAGTTAGAATAATCGAAATTTTATAAATTATTTTAGTATTAAGAGAATTCAAAATCTTATTAATTCTTATATGTTTTACTTTAAGCCGCCGATACAGGTATACTCGAAACGACGTAAACGATTTACGTCGTTTCGAGTTACGTCGTTCCCGATTATACGTCGTTTGTCAAAAAAATGTATATGGAAAAATAAAAATCAAGTTTAAGTCATTTTATTCGACTTTACGCGATGTCCAGATCCCATCGATTCGTCTTTTGTTTGAGCACCAGGCAACTCTTGATTATTCACTCCCCCACACTATTGTTCAGCTTACATGTTCGGACGTGTCGCGCGGAATCGACGCATAGCTACAATTTATTTTGTGTTATTTATTTCTGTGTATTTTATATCTACGGAGACTTGAGAGATTCTATGTAGTGATTTCTTATAACCGTGAATAAATCAAAAGACGAGATAAGATTAACGAGAACATTTATTAGCTTACATACCTCCAACTTGGATTTTACACAAATTGCGAAATTATACCCCGACTTACGCGAATNATCTAGTTTATTTAATAATTTATTTATTAAATTTTCTCAAAATATTTAATAAATAAATTATTTTATGAAGTAAGACAAATACGGCAAAGATTAATTAATTAATTATTTAAATTTTGGCTTTAATTCAGACAAAGCGAACAGAACTGAAGCAAACAGTAAATATAAAAAATATTTGCAGATAATATTTAGAATATTTTTATGAAATGATCAGAATTTGCTCACTTGTGTAAAAGTGAATAAAAATTTTAAATAATTTGAGTTTTCTAGAAAAATAAATAACATTTACATATTTCTCATGGTTAAAATTGAATTTATTAGTTATATTAATTCAGAAGTAATAAGAAAATTTTACACAGATATTGCAGATATCACAGATCAGTAAAATACTTAAAAATAAACTAAGAAAATCCAGCAACAGGTTGCTTAACTTTCATGGCAACATTTGGTAGCACCATCTGTTATCATATTTTATTCAAAAACTTTTTATATTTTTAACTATTATAAAAGGCAAAAATCTTAATTTTGAGGGTAGGGACGAATTTTATAAAAAAAATGTAAATGTTAGTAAGTGAAATCGTCATTAAATCTAACCTTACTGGAGATACACACAACTCTGATTATCTCCCCACCTCCTCGACCTTTAACCATCAAAATTTAACAGCATCAATCCCCCTAACATGCAAACGTTCCTGCAAAATTTCAGAAATTTTCGACAAAAGCACAAGAGTTATAGTTTTATATTCTTTAGGAATGCGGTATCCATATATTTTTTTCATAATATAATCTCGATATCTATAGAGAAAACATTGCACAGAACATAAAACATAGATCTAATTTCAAAGAAATATTTATGGTATGATTCAATACTAATTATCTTTGTATAAGCAGTTTAAATTTAGGCTAAATATTTTGTAAAACCGAAGAAAACTAATTAGATTATATATTTAACTATAAAGCCCGTTAGTTCGTAACTGTAATTTTGTTCCGGCCGAGAATATAGAAATTTACAGGTTAAAGAATTCGTATTAGTTCGTAATACGACTACTTCGAAATTCAAAGTGAAAATTCTATCTGAACTGTAATATGCGTAACTCGTTCGTTTAGATCATAAGTCTCCAACCTTTTTGACCTCACGGACCATTAAAAATCATAATTTTGAATTTCGCGGATCACAATCATATATTTTTCTAAACGATACGAAACATCTAAACAATAATCACCATAAAAGTTCCATTTTACTTTATTAATATGAAATTCAATTGTTTAATAATTACAAATTAGTGCGAAATTTGTTACTGCTTTTTGAAATAAGTTTATTCTTGATTCTTTTCTACCAAGGATGACAATTGCATTCACATTATATGTAGATGTATTGATATTATTATTATTTGATAACAGTAATTTCGTATTTGGTTCTAGATTGGAATAAAAAAACCCAATGAATAAAAAAATAACCGAACATTTTGCATTTATTTCAAAATATTTTGCGTAACCTTGAGTTGATGAATGTCCAAATTTCTCCATGAACCACCAAAATTGTCTCGCGGACCATCAAAGGTCCACGGACCACAGGTTAACATCTGTTGGTTTAAATCGAACTTCATACTATCAATATAAGAGAACAAAGAACATCTCTAATGTGGTCAATATGACTTTACTTTTACAGTAACATATTTTTGTGTGGATTACCCTTTTTTCTCTTATCTCATAAAATACGACTGGGTTTTCGGATTGAAAAATTGGCCTACAAGAAACAGATTAAAATATTTATAGGTCTCTATGCTACTAAACTTGGCCCAAAAAGCACAAATTATTATATGAATTTATTTATATGTATGTAATAGAACAGTGACGACTCGCTCTTCAGATTCAGTTCCTTCCAGGAGGCCGTTTAAACGCCGATTTATTTAAAGTCCTAACAAGCTTTCCAAATTAGAAATAATGGAAGTGAATTACTCCATTCCCAAATCCTAAACAGCACTCATTTTGATTAACTTAAAACAGCGAATACACATAATTTCAGGTAAAAATAACATAATTGCATGCCGTAAATAATAAATTAAAACATAAAATCAATTAATATAATACGTAAATATTGAATACTAAAACAGGCAATTATTTATTGTAACATTGTCTCAGTGCCAAACTGCAATTATTAATCATATTTCCTCAAATTAGTAGAGCTTGCTCCTGTACATCATACTTTTTCTACAACAGTAGAGTCGTGCTGGTCATCTACCTAACAGTTTTCAGAGGAAAATATTGGAATTGAAATAACATGACTTCCGGTTTACATCAGATGTTCGTATATAGTTAATCTAAACCTCGAACTTCAAAGTTTCCACATCTGGTCTCAATTTTTATATACCGAACAAAACTTTATCGTACTGTATAAAATTGATTCTTGACA